ATTTTCGGCACCAAATTATTTTACAATTTCGTTTACTTCGTTTTCTTATGAGGTGGGCAGCTACAACGCGGGATCGCTTCATCTTCTACAATTTTCTATTCTATTAAAAATAAAGGAATAAAGTAGCAACTGCAAAGGAAAGTGTGGTTAGAATGACTTTGACGTGATAAATGGCAGTTAGAAGTTGACAGCTGTAGTTTTTTCTACCAACTGCGCATGATTTCGTACGAAATTTAGTACGAAAATTTCTTTACGTGTCAGACAGGCTTGTAATTTGTAAACAAATTGGGAACTAAATTCAGTAACGAATTTTCTCACAAAATTTGGTACTAAATTTAACACAAAATTTTGTATCGTGCAAACGGTCTTAATGCAAATTGGATAAAATAAGAACATTAAAACCACAAGTTGGTGTACTTACCTTTACTTAAGTACACCCGCACACGACATACCGCGATAAAGGCTCTGTAAGAAGGGTTTTGACAACATTGTCAACTTTGCGAGCCATAAGATTTCTGAAATTCCTTGGCGAGAAAAAGTTGTTAAAAGATGGAAGTTGACACAGGAGGGTCAACAGATGACGCAGTTCCACACAATAAGGGGAAAGAGCTGAGCGGCGGCGGAAACCAAGCAGAAGCAGAAAACGTGGGGCCACTGACGCAGATGTCATCGGAGCAGAAAACCATCGACAACCTGATGTTGATTATAGACCACCAAGCGAAGCCGATCGTGCGGATGTTATGCGGTGTATTATGTAAAAAACTTGCAGACTTGCAGACTAGATAATTTTTAAGGTGCAAGTAGTTTATTCCACGTTTGTTCGCTATGACCGCTGTGAGCGTCCATCTATGGAGGAATGACTCAACTACACGCATTGTTGGTTGAATATGTTTTGTGAAGCTGAGTAGTATGTAGTTTTCATCTCTGAGAAGAAAGTTGGTTGAGTAGCAAGATCGCATCAGGATGATTATGTGTATTGGTCTGCATGTGTATAACATCTGAATATGCTGCCAATAAAGTATATCTATTAGCTGTGCCAGACGGGTTATTTATATGTTGTCCTTTCTGAAGACAGGTTATGTTCAAAGTTATAAATTCCGATTTTTCACGTTTTTTTTTTGTCTTTTCAAAAATTTTGAGGAGCACTGCGAGAAATTGCAACCGCGCCCGCGTTGTGTGCAATTAAGCCACATCACAGAAAAAGTAGTAATGACGCCTAACACATCAAACATTCTCGCAATCGCAATCTAGGCGATGATTTATATATTCTATTGATATCGCAAAATAAATTTCTATAAAATTATAATGGCTGGAAATAAAAAATAATGTAATCACCTTTCCACTCGTAAATATTCCTGTCTGTATCATATTCCCGCACCTGCTCCTTCACCAACCAGGGATTTTCTTTTCTTATCTCTCTCATTTTTGAAATTCAGCAAATTTGCATATGAAATTTCCAGAATGAATAAGAAAAAGTGGATGCGCAACTAATTTCTAGCTTTTAATCCCAAGTAAGTGTATTTGAGACAAGAATGCAATGGAATTATCATCAACACATATTATTAGCACACAAATCCTCATTATGCACCTATGCATTGCCGTTTCCTTCTAGCTATAGTATATAACTGACCGCTTAGACCTCCAGTAGTGCCATCTCTGAAGCAGATTTTGCATCACATCAGAGCCAAACATTGATAACTGAAGCATCATGACGTTTAGACAACAAGTACAACTACAAAACGAGTTCACGTGTCCGTCAGCTAGTGCTAAGTTAACATCTTGTAGAAAAACGTTCATAATGTCACAAAAAAGGAATACAATATCAACAAAATTCACATAATGTCACTTTTCAAGATACGTAATACCGGTGCCGAGACCTTATGGAGAACATCACAGCCTGACCGTCCAGGTAGCAGTTTTAGTAAATTCAAAAGAATCTCCTGAAGAATGGACAAACAGCCTAAAAAGACCACTGAGAACCGTTATTGATGATCATTTACATTCGCAGACGACGACGTGAAAGCAAAATGAAGGAGGAAAAGCGACAAGACCGATCGACCAGCCCAAGACTTTCCTCCTCTTCCGAATACAAGATCAATTCCACTTCACACCTCCCACACTTCATCAAATCGTCTATCAAATCATTGACATCAGTCAGCGCAGGAACCACATTATCTACCTCTCACGTCACACCGTCAGCCGATGTTGCTTCTCCCCCGTCATTTCGTCCAGCCGTCGTGGCATCAACCCAACCCTCACGTCAAGGGCGCGTAACGCCAATCATTATACGCGACGGGGCGAGGTGGTGTCCTTTAAACTACAGGTTCATTTCCCTTGGTATTAAAATAAATCGCGCGGTTGCCGTTGATGCGAGAATAAGGATTATTCCTAAATTCGAGGACGACTACCGTAAGATTATTCGTCTGTTCCGAGACGAAGAAGTGCCCCATCACACTTTTCCTCTCTCTTGGTAACGGAATATCCGTGTGGTGGTTCGAGCAGCTCCCGTTAATTTTTCGGATACTGAGATTAAGGAAGAACTTGAGCAGAGTGGATATAGCCCTCTTCATATCAATCTAATCAATCAAGACTAAAAAGTCCCAACAAACATTCAACGGAAACGAACTGCTGGCACTGGCTATTCGAGTTGAGATTCAAAAGAACTACAGACTCATTGGGCAGTAACACCGCTGCCGAAAGTACGGGCATGCGCAGTCGTACTGCCGAAATGACGCATTTATGCCCCATCACAGAACAGGAAGAGCGCAGGTGTGCGAACTGTGCAAAGTGCCATCCCGCAAATAGCCTGACTTGCAAGCTTACTCCAAGCAGGAACTTGTAAGTTATATCGCAAAGATGCAATCTGTCATATGCCGACGCAGCTAGGAGGCAACCTTGCCTCTTTCCAACCTCCATTGAGTACGTAAAATGTGGACCTAGCAACCGCGCTAAAGTCCTTACAACAAATAGTAAGCCCACTGATTAACGCTATGCAACCGTTGCGGGCGATCTTTCCTGGAAATGGCTAGGTACAATAGTGGACAGCCTGTATTCATAAAAATTCTGTTTTGGAATTGTTTGGGCATAAGGGATATTCCCGAAAAACTGGAATTTCATCAAGGTTTTTGGACTACTCGGATTCGCTTATTGTGACAGGGGACTTCAACTGTAACCATCGAGCATGGAATTCTAGGTTGAGTTTCACTAGAAGGATTCGATTGTACAACCATGTTATGTGAAATCGGTACATTACCCATAGCACTGAAGAGTCGACAGACCATCCATTCTTCATCTAAGCTCGGCGAAAAGGTGACTTATCGTCGCCTTGAGAATTTTTTGTCAAATCACCATGTGATTTCTGACGTTCAATTCGGCTTTCGGTCCCATCATAGTACCGAGCTACAGGCAGTCAGGCTGGCGGAACACGTGACCACAGGACTCACCCACAGCATGAGTACTGGCATCTTGCTTTTGGATTGTTCAAAAGCCTTTGTGTGGCACGCGGGCCTCCTCTATGAACTAATCCAAAAGGGTTTTCCTTTTTGGCTTCTAAAGTTACTAAAATCCTTCCTTGAAAGAAGGAAGTTTCACATCAAAATTAACAATGTTTTGTCATCAACACGGCCAGCACCGGCCTCAGGACTCGGTCCTAGGACCAACCCTTTAGTCGCTTTTTATACGTCTATGCGTCTCTTGGCCCAACAACTCTGAAGTTTACCTCTACGCAGTCAAAACTGCACTTATGGCCCAGTCATGTACTGGTGATCTGGGTCGCGATGGATTGCAGAGTGAGGTGGATGAAGTGCTAGAGTGGTCGGAGCGGTGGTTGATTAAAATTAATCATTGTACCAAAAAACGTCGCGCCCATCATGGAGAAGTATACCATGGACCAATTCTGACAAGTATCCCGGTCTCACCCTTAATAAAGGCATGACCTGACAGAAACATTCCAATTCCAAATTGCGTTTCGTCATCTATACAGGGTGGCGCATCGAAAACGAAACAGGCGCATTTACTGGCAGCTCAGTTTTTTTTTTTGGAAAAACGCTCAGACCCGTCGATTTTTTTTTCGAGGGGGACACAAGTTTGGCAAAAAAACCACGTTAGCACGTGCAGCCCTCTAAGCGGGAGTGACACCACCCCCAAAATCTTAAACGGAAAGGGGGGTCGAGTGATACCTTATTTTAAAGGTCTTTTAATTCCCTTTATAATGATATAAAATTAATGTAATGTTCAGTAGTTTTGACGATTTATTGATTTAAAGCTTAAATAAAGCTAATACATCATCACTAGTGGAGATCAATACATTTGGCAGCAAAGTAATTTAAAAATGAAGAATGAACTGACCCGTTAGGCAAGTAAATGTTGAAAATGGCACCATGACTCTCCATGCAATAACAAACATTTTGCTCAAAACGTTGCCGCACATTTTGCAATATTTGAGGAGTAATTTGAAGGCACTCATTCACAATTCTTTGTCGCGGGTCTTCTAATGATGTTGGCTGAGTAGCATAGATTTTGCTTTTTAAATGATCTCTCATAAAGAAATCCAAAGGTGATAAATCTGGCGATCTTGGGGGCCATTCAATCTGCCAATCCATCGATATGGAAACGTCTCTTCTGTGGAATATACCATGGTTAATTTATGTAATAAAGCATTACAAGTTATTTTAGCGACAAAGTTTGGTCAAATCAATCGCAAGCTAAGTACTAAATTCCTATTTAAAATAAGAACGAGATATTTCCTTATCTTTCTTCAAGAAATAACTTTTTTGCCACAAAAAACGCTCCAATAGCTATTTTCAACAACAAAATGATAAACAATCCATGGGCGTAGTGAAGAAAAGCATTTACTTATTAAGTAAATTCTTTTAGTCAAATTTCTTCTCAAAGTAGTACAAACTAATCTGATGTACCTATTAAAGTCTACTTTAAGCTTTAAATCAATAAATCTTCAAAACTACTGAACTGAAGCTCATGTATTTTACATCATTGTAAAGGGAATTGAAAGACCTTTAAAATAAGGTATCACTCGACCTCCCTTTCCATTTAAGATTTTGGGGTTGGTGTCACCCTCGCCCAGGGGGCTGCACGTGTTAACGTGATTTTTTGCCAAACTTGTATCCCCCTCGAAAGCAAAATCGACGGGACTGAGCGTTTTTCCAAAAAAAAACTGAGCTGCCAGTAAATGCATCTGTTTCGTTTACGATGCGCCACCCTGTATAGTACATGTCATATAGAAAAGTTAAGAACTACAGAACGTTTATATCGCAGAAGCTTTGGATCACCTCACAAAATCATGCTAAATATGCAATACAATACCTCATCGCCAGTGGCGTGCGAAGTAAAAATTATACACTTTTGAATCTCTTGTTGATCCAAATGTTTTCGTTCATCCTAGTGGCAACATTTTATCAAACAGGTGTGATGTTCATCCATATGGTACTTCAGAAGAAAATCGCGCCATTTTTGTATAATATTTATTCAATTTCTTAAATTATTTATTCACAGTTTGTTACATCAGTTATTAAAAATAATTACAATGTACAATGTGAGATTCCGCTCAACAAACATTAAGAGGCTTTCACACCATTTCAGCTCAACATAAAATATAGAGTTATGCAACTATGTGAAAACTCCTTGAGAATAATTTTTAGGCATTAGTAATGAATTTTAAGCACTTGTACCTGGTTAATAAAAATCAGCGAATAAAAGTGACAAAAACCTTAAAGTATGGTTAACATTTCTTCATATCAACGTATGGAGGCGGCGCTGCTAGTTCTGTCAAAATTTCCAAAAATTTAATGATTTTCAAATGAATACAGAAATCCCAATTTTGATAAAGAAATGCCCAAAATTCATTCCAGTGGCAGTATGATCACGGTAAGTACACTTCGACTTTGCGTATCAACAAATATTAAATATATCTCAATAAATAATAATATACAACAATAAAATCTATACGTAAAACAAGTACTAGGAAGAGATCGCCCGCTGTATGCCATATTTTCCTTTGCAAGAAAGGCACAACGACGATCTAATCTACTTAGGGCACGTATTATGGCTTTTTACATTTTGTTAATGAATTAACGGATTTTAGTAGAAAATGAATAACGATAAGAAGACGTCAAAATGGCACTATTTTTTAAAGGGTGAATTTAAGCAAAAATTGATTCCATCACCCTGTAATATCATTAAACAGTGGATATCGCTATTGATATAATTTGCAAATTAATTTTAGTTTACTATACTCACATTAGGAAGCAGTTATGAAACTCATACATAGACAACTTTTTGTTTAGTTTTACAGTAAATTAAAAGATGGGAGCTCCTTATCCTTGGACCTATCTAACATTTGCAAAAAACATCTTGTAAATAGTACATTTCAAATTCCAATGTTTGCACACTAAACGTCCAATTTTCGCTAACCTGGACAATTATCAAAAATAAATATCAAAACAGCTTCCCGAATCATTTTTAAATCACGTTAATATTTGAAAAAAACAGTTCGAGAAGTAATCGCATTAAAACAATCGACTAAACACATTCACACTTGCTACAGAACTTAAACCATCTAAACATAAAAGTCTAGCTTTCTTAAGTTCGGCACCTCATTCCAAAATCTCAAAAATATATTAGACAACAGCGCATTCTATAGTCTTTATGAGAGGCAGTGGCATTACAAAGTTTATTATTTTCAGGGTTCTAAGTTCATAGCGCCACATTTGCAGTTACTTTATTAGCTACCAAAGTTAGAAAGAACAGAGGGAAACTTATTGATTGACATTGATTTCGCGACCTGATATTACATGTATAGGGATTTTATTATGCTAACCTGTAATTCGATCAATCTTAGATCAATTTGAAATAACCGAAAAAACACATGATACATGCTAAAATCCGTACACAAAACCAAGCTACAAAATGCATTAATCTCCTTAAAAAACTTGACTAGTTAGATATATCCATCGATTTGCTGGAACAATGGAACAAAAGTTTCCTTACAGTCCTTTTTTATTTCAAATTGCACCTTAAGGAGCAGGCTTTTCTCAAAGTGCTTCGTCTCCGCTGTGATAACCGTTTCTGTTCAGTGGCTGGCGTTCTGGGGCTGAAGATGGCCTATTTCTCTTGAAGAATCCACACTGAAAAACAATTATTTGCAGTTCAAATAATATTTCCACTTCAAGTGGCGTATCATATAGATCCTAATTCAAACAGGACCTTGCCACACTATGTTTTTTTGGAGCCCATATTTAAAATCGCTGTTCTCAATTACAACACTGTTAAGTCCACCATGTTTGTCTCGCCGCTAAATGAAACCACATCTGTTCTGATTAGGGGTCTGAATGTCATATGTACCGCTTGTACTTCGTCGCCCTCCCGTGACAGTTAGCGGTTACTATTAGAGTATTTACTACCAAAATCCCGTTAACCTTTTCTCAGAGGGTTCCGTGTCAATAAGTATTGACCTGTTAACACTTCAATACTTCAAACATGTTTTGTCCAAAATTTCAAACTCCGACAATGCGATACACGTTAGTATTTTATATTAAAATGCTAATCTGCCAGTACGTAATTCAGTAATCATAAATAAATTATTTCCAGAATGGTTCAATGGTAGGTATTTGCACGAACTTCTAAGACATCTACTTATTGGATTATAATATAATTAATTTTCGTTGAATTCAGCATCCTTTAAAATAAGAGACATTGATTCGCCAAATTCGGTTTAGTGGTGAACAATATATAAAATAAGCGTATCCTGCGTATCAAAAAAAATCTTTTGTGCTGGTACTATCTACTAAATTATTTATATTTGGATGCTCCATTCACGTATACTATATACGTGTATATTAAACGAAAAATGAAGTTCGTAGAAAATTAGAACATTATGCATGAAAATCTACATAATACATAAAAATATAGTTCTGTTATTGGGTGGTTGAAGCGCTACACAGGGTGTTGTTATCAATGTATATGGATAAAATTCAAAGGGTGACTTCTTGGATGATTTTAAGAAAAAAGCTTTATATGAACTTATGTAAATTGTAATGACTTGATCAATTTTGTTAAAGCTTCACATCAGCACAAATTTAAATAAAAGCATTAAGGCAAAACTCCATATTTCTTCCAAGAATTGTCTCATAGATCATCGGATTTCAACATTTCTTTGTTTTTCTTTTACGAGTTTTGGTTTTATTGACACGTTTTTCTTATTAACCTTCATCACAGTTCTAGGAAATACGACAGTATGATCTGAATATCAAATTTCATTAAAATCAGCTAAGTATTTAGCTAGGTACTTTATTTACATCCCCTGTATATGTAGATAAATTAAAAAATTCCGTCCTTTTTACAACTTAATCTGTCATCTGTTTGCTTTCGCTTGTCATTGTCATTTTTTTAACGTCCAAAACCTACAGACTATGATAACAGATGACTTCTGCCAAGAAGACTTAATGTGAGTTTGCATTTAGAGAGTTTCTTTACTGTATATGATGATTTATAGTCTGTGGTTTAAATTACTGTTTACGTTTCGCCCACCATGGCCTGTTTCAAGTACAAATAACAATTCTGATAACGATATATTTTGTTTATCTGTCTTGTAGCTGATAGTTCGTTAGTTTTTTTTTGTTCATATTCCTATTCATTGTGTTACTACAACAGTCGGAACGTTCCTGTAACATCCTGGGATTGCGCGAGGCCACTATTGTAATTTTAAGATTCAACCGCGTTAAACCAGCAGGATCACCTAGGGTAGGCATTCCCGCTTCCAAAACGACGTCTAGTCTCTCAAAGCGACAAAACAAATGACAAATAACGTCATGCTCTCTTGTCACTTTGAGATGCTGGATGTCCTTTTGGGAGCAATTCCCACCCTAAGCGGTTCTGAACTTTACTGGTTTGACGCGGTGCCATCTTAAAATTACGATGAATGCTTGTCGCAATCTTAACTGTAGCAACAGACTGTATAGGAATGTGACAAAAAAACAAACGAACTGTCACCTGGAAGACAGATAAACAAAATGTATTGTGGACAGAATCGTCATTTGTATTTAAAAAAGGCCAGCGCGTGGTGGTCGAAATGTCGTGTTAGCATGGACCAGAGGGGGGAAGCAAGGGTGGCAGATTCCCCCTTACGTACCATCTGGGCTCCGTTTGTAAATCACTTGGTATCGTAATACCGTACACAGTAATGGAATTTAGATTGACTGACGAAGCTTTACTCTGCAATAATGTGAAACTTTATTTTTAGAACGCCTAAATTATTACAGTCATGTAATAACACTTGATGACAGCCGAATAATTCCTTACCACGTTTTCTGGAACTATTACGTTTATCATAAGAAACGTTATGGACACGGGGTAGCCCATTCATCATGGAAAATATAATATTCTGCGAATTTTCAGTACTTTCTGATAACCAAATAAAGTAAATAAATAATGAACCATGAAAATGACACTCTTATTCACAAGATTTTGAGCACAGGAAGAAAATTACTTTTTTGAAGTTCCACAATGATTACTTTGTTCTAATTTCAAACGTATGGAACAGGTACGTCAATTACGAATGCTAAAATCCTTACAGAATAGTACAAAGTAAACTTTGTAACAATTTCGAATGCAGCCCAGTACTTACTGATTATTCCGTCAAGTCAGTTAATGTCTACGACACTATATAAATACTGGTATCATCAGACAGACCTTTCAAAATTTCTATAAAATCCAGCGATACTTTGCAAGTTATAGAGGGACCAATATTTAAGTCTTTTTTTACGATTACTCTATCGCAATAGGAACAATTAGGAAAACCTATAAATATTTTTCTGTCTGTAATAGAGTGCCAGGGATTACCTGACAGACGTCACCAAAGATGTACCTAATATGTCATATTGAAAATGAAATTCGTTGTTTCTTTTAAGTCTTTTTTGCGATTACAGTACTTCCCGGACCTATTATCTTGACCGAAAAAATGAGCGCCGAGCATCCTGTATGAATTTTGAGGGATAGGTACGTCCAAAAGTTTGAAGAAAGCATATGACTCAGAAATTATGAATTTTAGACATATATAAAATTTGAAGCAACCCAAAATCTCGTCATATAAGAGCCCCTCCTTCCCACTTCAGTTGGCCCAACTATAGAAATCTTAGTTTTTTTCTTATCAAACAAAAATAATAAAAATGTAGCAGGCTGTTATAGGTTTAAAATATTAACAATGAATATTTTGATAATATATTGTAGAAAACACCAACTTTATCAGTCCCTAATCAAATTTGCAGCATAAAAATAACACATGTTGCAATTACAGCATATCAACCTATTTTCATTTCAATGCAAAATAAGTCTATAACGCATAGGTGGCTGTGAAATTGTTTTTATTAATCACAGCTGTCAGAATACGTTTAAAATAGTTTTGGGTAGTTAAAGTTTTCAAAATGGTTTGAGGAAAGGTTATTAGTGAGAAAATTCGGTTACTGATAATTAAGTTTTTTAATTCTGGGAAATCAAACTCAGAAATTGGAACTTTGTTAGACTTATCGCGGTACAGTGTGAGAAATATTGTTAGAAGATATAACGTAACTGGTTCAGTTAATCTTAAGCCACGATATGTGAAAAAAAGTAATATCACAAATGCCGACCGGAGAGCATTAAGAAGAAAAATCGTGAAAAACAGGCAAGCCAATTATTTACAATTAAGTGCTCTGTGGAGTAACGCTGTTGGAAGGAGAATTTCGAGGTCCACAAGTCATAGAGAGGCCCACAAACTGGGATTTAGCACTTGCAAGGTAAGTTTTCTTATAAAAAAATGAAGCAAAAACCCTAAAGTTGCACAACTTGTTTATAGGCCAAAGAAAAGCCACTATTAACTCCACTGCAAAAGAAAAATCGGCTTAGATGGGCTAAAGAACATAGACAATGGACACCTCAACAATGGAGTGATGGCCCGATTCGAAGTTTGTGTTGGTGACAGTCGCAGTAGAGTTATTCGCAAAAAAATGAGGCATTCCATGTCGACTATCTGAAGAGAAAAATGAAACTTCCAGCATCCATTATGGTCTGGGGCAGTGTCATCAAAAGGAGTAGGAAAACTTCAGTTTATTGATGGAAATGTGGATACAAACAAATATTTGGCAATTTTAGAAAAATCGCTTTTACCAGTGATGGAAGAATGTTTGACATCCAGCCAACATTTTGTGTTTCAGCAAGATGGTGCAGCGTGCCATACCTCAAAAAAGGCTATAAAATGGATGGAAGAAAATAACGTACCACTTTTGAAATGGGTTTCTAGCAGTCCAGATCTGTCACGTATTGAAACTTTGTGGCACGAGATGAAAAAGGTTTCTACGACAACATCCTGCGAACTGAGACAAAAGCTTCAAGAAATATGGGATTGTTTTACACCAAATTTTTGCCAAAATTTGGTTAACACTATGCCCCAAAGAATTTCAGCCGTAATAAAAAATAAAGGTGATGTTACCCAATGGTACTCTTTCAATTGTTGCTTTGTTAACTACGCGCATTTATTCGCATATTGTTTATTTGTTCAGATGTTCTATTAGTTATAGGTCTTAGTGATTTCAAATATGTATTTTTTACGACTATAGTGTATCTAAAATGTTTTTGAGAAAATAAATTGTTTTAGAAGTAAATAGTTTCGTCATGTTTAGTTTATAAACGCATATTTTGGTACAAATCTTGTAGTGGGCCAACTGAAGTGGGAAGGGGCTCGTAGGTATCTCAAGTATCGCTTCAAAGTATTGCAAAATAACATAATATTTGAATGAAGGTTTTAAAAAAGTAATCCTGGTAGTTTTCTGTATCGTCCATATATGGTTTGTGGAACTTCCATCATTTTTTTTTTAAATTTCCTCTCTTCCATTTTGAACTGGGTAAGACCTTGCGTGTCAGTAAATAGTAATTAAAACTTACGTAATTTCACTTAGCGGCCAAACATGGAAGATTTTCAGAATGAAAACCACAGGATAAGTACCAAATGTTACATTAACATTATAAAAGCTGACTATCGTATTCAAAATCTTTTAAGTATCTGCCAACCTGACCAAGAAAAATGGAACTTGTGATATATCGTTTTTAGCAGAATATCACGCTCTATCTGTTTTATAATATAATAATTAATAGTTCTAAATTCTTCTTACCTTGCTGAGCAACCAAATGAGTAACAACAGCATAACAACTCCCGCTATAGCTGATATAATGTAAATCCACATTGGCGCAACTTCCGGTACCAACTCTGTTTCCTGAGCGGGAATTTCAGTGAAGATCTCGTGACTTCGGAACTCGTCTGTCTTTTCGCCTATATACGGCAACTTGCTAATGCGAGCCACCATCATGGACGAGATCTTGATTCCCTGTTCTGTCGTCAACTGAAAAAATTAAAACAAAAACGAATATGAAAACCTCCTAGTACAAATAGCCATCAAAAAATGAGCTCCAAACAAGTAGATAGTACGAAGAGCATATAAAACCGCGAAATCGCTCCCGTAGGTTTCATATAAAAACATTACAGTGAAATATTGAAATATTAAACCTTATCAGAATAAAGTGTGACGCCTATGGTATCTTTCATGTTACTGTGCATTTTCATTAGATTTGGTGTATTTTCATACTAGCGGCTGACTGCTGGAGAAAGTTTGATTTAGTGATTACGAATGTGTTAAAAGAGTACCTTCAGTTTCAATCCGTTGAGAAATGTTGTTTAGATCAAGGTAGGGCTTCGAAAGAATATGGTATAACAAAAATCTACTTACGTTTTTCACAGCTCTCACATTCAGTCTAGACCTCAAGGCGATTGCAATTTCTTTGTCTTTGGCCAACGTGCCAACTGTACACCTCATATACACGCATCTTGTTGAGTTGCATTGCAACATTTTTCTCATCTCTTCGTAAGGATCGTTTTCCACCTAAAAGCAAGAATAAAATTAAGGAAAAAGCAATGCTTTATTCAAGTATGTTTTTGAAATTTGCTGACTAAAAATGAAGCTTGAAGCTCACTTGAAAAGTTTGACATCAGTTTGATCCAATACTCCAATATATATATATATATATATATATATATAGGGTGTTACTTAATGTAGTTTCAAGTGCCCATTCCTGAACCAAATTTAAGTAGAAACGGGTGTTGAAGTCTTATAAAAATTATGGTTCTTTCTTAACATCTCAAAGATACTTGTGTCCATTTTGTTGTTCATTGCAATAAGACGCTAAGTGGAAGATAATTATGAATTGCATTACCGAAAGAAGACGGAGCAAAGCGCCTTCTTCAAACGCAAGTAGACTACAGCTACTCTACAGCCAGAACTGTCAGCCATCTGGCGGTTACATGTTGACTGGGCTACTAAACGCGAACTGCGATCTCTACAGCTCTACCAAATAACTGCTATGCACTCTGCGCAGCGATCGATTTTGGTGAGAGATGACGCTTTCCGCTGTCTTAGTTCCATAGACCATACCTCCTGCATAGAGGATAGTTGGGATGCTTGCGTTCGAGACGAGAGACCAACCTCAGACCATGCTGATGAGTAGCCAAGAAGCACGAAGAAGTTCTCCATGGTTTGGCCGTCTTTCAGTCGGACTGACCAAACTATCTTGTTTAATGCCAGTGGCGTCTCGATGGGCAGTCTCACAGATGATATTGAGAAAGAAATGTACACCAGTGAATTTTTGGAAAAATACATATTTTTCGTATTTAGCAGATAATGTTATAGCTTTTTTGTCTCTTCGTATATCTTCGATTACTACTTCGTTTGCGAGGAAAAAATAAAAAACAGCTTGATTTGTTTTCAATGAATTTTCTTCTGATATTATAAACATAGTTGTGACCTTCCATGACAGTCTGCTATTATTTTTTTTATTTCTGACACCCTGTATCTTGGCTTCTTTGGACACGTGTTTATATGAACTTTTCTATTTGAATTTAGTTAAGGAGACCCTTGAAATTACGTCCTATAATTAACTGTAAAAAATAACATCAGATAAATGAATAAATAAGCCACAAATGGTAAAGCCTTGAGCGTGGCATAAAACAAAATAATTACTCCATTATGGAACACACCATAGAGGTAGAATTATGCACTTTACTGTACAGGGACTTTGTTAATGATATGCTTAATAATTAAGGACTTGATTCTTTTGAAGGAAAAAATTAATTTAAACGTATGCTCTAAACTTAGGTGTATTAACATTTGAGATTCAGGGCGGTAAAGCTCTCAGGTAAAAATCTATATTTTATGGTGATTCTCTGATGTGATGATGAACAATTTTATTATTTCGATCGGTGGCAACGAACTGGGTCCTTCCACTGAAATAATCTGTTACTAGTGATTGTGCTCTTCCACGAAATCCTTAATTTCCTTCCTTATTTCCAATGATTGAAGCAGATGTTCTACTGTATCGACAGCCTTGTTCAAATCTATGAAGATACTTAGGCATGCAATGTTTTGATCTATGTAATCGTATACATGTTCTACCAGTAGATAGGTATACATGAACCGACAAAAAATATGGGTAATTGGGGACGCTATTTGATGATTTTTGCGTAGAACTATCGTGATAACTTTTTTGTTTGTCGACATAATAACACAAGATAAATTCGAGTCGATTCTGTTTAGCATACTGAATCAGATGAGATTAATGGTTTGTACAAAGCTTCTCCATAAAAGGACTTATGACCTTCCAAAGTCGATTACAAAAAAACTATACCCCTAGTGATACTTAGTTTTATTCCAAAAAGTTCCGTGTTTCTTTGCCTTTCCAACGATATGCTACACATCATAGAAACAATTTGTTTAGTGGTCAGAATTACAGGAAACAGTGTGTCGAGCTAATGATTTTTTGAGCGATTAATACATTTTTATGTAATTTGAATGAGTCTTTTCGAAATGACTGCCTCCACTTGTTGAGAATAATGAAGTTAACAAGGGCGAAGCAGTACACAGATTAGGAATACCTCTTATGCAGGTGGATTAATTTGAAGTTAATGACATCCGATACCTGGATTACCATAATACGTCTTAGGGTATTAATGACAACTGCCATTAATGTCTAATCTCATAACCTGACAGGTATGTATTCCAGGTATCGCAGCTTATTGATTTCAGATAAACTTGCTTGTGTTGGATTTCTGAGCTTACCTGATAATTTAAATTATGATCCTCATCATCTCATAGATAAAAGATTGCATTACGAAATTAGGGCTGGTCAAGCTTTGACTATGTCTCATAGCAGAAGTGTATTTGCGTTTGATTTTGTTGTCTCTGTTTTTGTTATTGCTAGTGTTTTCACCGTCATTATCAAGTTTCATTGATGCCATAATGCCGAGGTTCAGTAACGAGGAATATGCCGATATGTTGCTGGCTTATGGCAGTGCTAACTGCAATTCACATGAAGCGCAAAGACTTTACCAGCAGCGATATCCTGATCGGCAGTTACCTCACCATGGGACCTTCGCAACAACTTATCGGCGACTGAGAGAGACTGGGAGCGTGAATTTTCAACAGCCTAAAGTGAGTGGTCGACAACTCAGTGTGACTACTGATGAGCAATGCGCATATGATGATGATCCTACCACAAGTATTCGGGTTGTGGCTGAAAGACTTGCTGTGTCGGTGAAAAAGGTCTGGTCTGTGTTACAGGCAAACAGGAAATATCCATTTCATTATTTTCCTGTACAAGGTAATGTATTTTTAAGTTTTGACAGGTTTATGCAACATTTTAATAATCATTGTCATAATCAGAGTCACAAGCATAAGAGTTGAAATCCTTATTTCTTATGAACACGTGTATACAGCTTGTCAAAGTCATAGTCATAAAATAGTCTATGGTCATAAACATTATCCCTTGTGAAGTTTGACACATGTGCAGTTGTGCTACACCTATGCGTATTTATGTTACAGGTCTGGACGAAGGTGACAGTACGACAAGGCAGGAGTTCTGCAGATTCATGCTTCACACAGACGTGGACGACGGTAGCTTTTTGAAGAGGATCTTGTGGACAGATGAGTCCAGCTTCATCCATGACGGAATCGTGAATTTGCACAATCTAAACTATTGGGCAGACCGGGACCAGAACCCACACAAGAAAAGACAGTGTTCATTTCAAAGACGATTCACCGTCAACGTGTGGGCCGGCGTTATTGGGCGGACTCTGATAGGACCTTATTTTTTCCCAGACCGGCTAAATGGTGAAAATGACCTGGAATTCCTGCAGACTGCGTTGCCTAATCTGCTGCTACCAATTTTACCCGGTGCACCAATTATTTTCCAGCATGATGGCTGCCCCGCACATTACGTCCAACCCGTTTCCAAACGCCTGGATTGGTAGAGGTGGTCCTATATCTTGGCCACCACGGTCTCAAGACCTGATACCTTTGGACTTTTACGTCTGGGGTCGAGCGAAGGAATTGGTGTATGTGACAATGTGACAGAGGTGCCCAACAAAGAGGTGCTAATCCAAAGGATTGAAGCTGCCTTTCGTCAGATGAAGGACGAGATCCTGCTACACACAACAACCGTCGAAATACGAACAAGATATCGAGCATGTATCAGAAATGAAGGCAGTCATTACGTTATACTTTTTTTAGTGTGTTATAACTTATATAAAGTAAGTAACATTCAAGTCTTCTTCGTTTATACAGGGTGGCCGATATGTAACTGACTGGTTTGTATCTTGAATATTTGTGAAATGAAATGAAATACGTTCATTTTTTTCATCTTAATCTTTAAAAATAATATCAGATAAATGTCCGCCACTAGAAGCCGCGCAAACCTGAGCCCTCTTAATTACATTTTCCATCACTTTTTGGTAGGTTTCGGGAGGAATATTTTCAATCGCTTCCGTAATATTGTTCTTCAGCTGCTCTACACTATTTGGTTTATTGGCATAAACCCTATTTTTCAAAAATCCACATAAAACAGTCAGGAGCCGTTAAATCCGATGACCTTGGTGGCCAGTTGACATCACCAAATCGAGAAATTAAACGACCCGGAAATATTGTTCGCAAAAGATTCATTGTTTTCCCTAGCTGTGTGACAAGTTGGTCTGACCTGCCACATGTTTTGCAGGTTAAATTATTGGATTTGAGGAGCCTGAAAGTTTTGCACCATATCACGGTAGCGCTCGCCAGTGACAGTACGAGAATTACCTGCAGCGTCTTCAAAGAAGTAAGGTCCAATGACACGTACATACAAAACACCGCACCAAACTGTGACTCGTCTAGGATGTAGTGGTCGTTGATGGATGACACGAGGGTTCTCTAATGCTCAGATACGACAATGCTGCTTATTAACAAATCCGTTCATATCGAAATGGGCTTCATCGCTCATTTTATCAGTTGTCCGTAAAAATCGTTATTTTGGGTATTAAGCTGCAATATTGCATGACTGTATTGTCGGCAATTTCCATGGTCATTAGGCTATAGTTCTTGGATTAACTGAATTTTGCATGTCCGCAAATGCAAGTCTTTTTTTCAAATAGTGCGTAATGATGTGCGACGAATACCCAGTTCTTGAGAACGATGTCTGGTAGGGCGCTCCACCACACTTTCTCGAACTGTCTTGATGTTTTCCGGAGTACGAATAGTTCGAACACCTTGGCGAGTCTTTAACTGTTTGTTCAAGTTTCCGCACCAACTGACGAATGGTTTTGACACTGAGCACATTATTTCGACCAAAATCTTGTCGTAGCTTCCGGATCGTTCCAACAATCGACTCATTATTTAAGTAAAACATTTTAACAATCCGGACACGTTGTGGTATCGTGTAGCGCTCCATGATGAATTGGACACATGTGCTTTAAACAACTACTACGGCGCCACCTACTGAAATGCGTGTATTAAATATGGCGCGCAATTTAAATCAGTCAGTTATATATTGGCCATCCTGTATAAAGGTTTTCTCGCAAAAGTCTCTGATTTCTTTTTAGTCTTTCGAAGAACAGTATCCATTATATTGACTCGTAGTTTTAACTTTTTTCTTCAGTTATTGCATATTTTTCAAATATCTTAGTACGAAATTCATGGTTTAGCTTACTGTAAATGTTTTCATCTAGCCTGCCTTCTATATTTCCATTTACTTCTCACTTCATTGACTTTTATTACTAGTTCTGAAAAATCTCTCTTTGTTTCGTTTGGGATTTAATTATGTAGGTGTTTGATTAATATCGTTTTTCGGGACACGAAGTATATTTTCGTTTATCACTGTATCGGCATAGGATTTCTTTTGATTTGTGATTTGAGTTTCCTTTTTAAGGTCTTGTTTAGATCTGTAAGACTATTGATGATTCTATCCTTTTCTTATAGATTGGAAATAATTAGGTCGTAATATTCTTGTATTTTTTTTCATTATACAAAAGACGTTTTTTTTTCTTTTTCTTCTTATTCTACTAACATTTCTTCTTTTTCCAATAAGATTATATCATTTCGTTACATAATTTTCTTCAATTCTTCATTTTCTTCTGCCCTGAGCTTCATTAAGCATTCTGCTTCTAGCTGTTCAACTTTGGCATCGTGACCTAATTCTTAGAAAGTTTTTCTCGATGCTGACAGTACCCAGATGTGCTTGCCTACAGATGGGGAGGAGCTACAGGTTCTTAACTTCAGTTACTTCTATGTAATTTTTCGGGGCATTGTCTTCGGTATACGATTTTTTGATGTAGGTGACTATATCGTGTCTGTAATATACTGAGCGCATAGCACAGATTATAAGCTGTACTAGTATATTATTTGACATAACATCTCGAAGAATTGTTCAGTTGCCTGAAGTGTGGGCCTCTCAAAATGTTATATATACTCTATTTGGCAATCATCTATAATCTATATCAATTTCATCTCATTCAAAAATTACGAGTTTCTGGTGGCAGCACCTTTCAAAATGGAAACCTTATTATTTTTTATTCAAAGACCCTATCTTACCTGTCTCCTTCCCCTAACCCGGAATTTTTCTCCACTACTGTCATCGCTGTTCGGTGGTACGTTGTCTCTATCCACTCTATTGTGATAAACAGGAGGTATGCTACCACTTGACGAATAGCCTCCTTCAGCTTTCCATTCTCTTCTATATCCACCACCAGTATGGCCTCCATGAGCTGCTGCTCCATGAGAACCTGCTGAGCTACTGGATACTGAGCCTAGGAAGAATTTTTCTATGAAAATTTACTACTATTTACTAATGTTTTTGATTCTAATAATGTTTATATGATAATTAGACATATAGGAACAACAGTAACATGCAAATATATGGTGTTCTTAAAGTTACATGGCGTATAGTTCTTTCAAATATAAGAAGGGTGTCATACTTTAAATGGTGTTTTGGACCGGGAACGTATTAGTTTGGAAACTGTTAAGTTTTACTGTGAATGGTACAAAAAATGACATCAAGTAGGTTGACTCTGCACTTTCCACGCTTCGCCGTCATCAGGTCATGAAGGATTATGTTCAGCACAAGTTAGACTTTATCGAAATAAGCGCCATAGACCTTATATCTTGGAAAAGTTGTTACACTTTCTTTCGTTGTCCCAGAAACCAAGCTTAGACCATGATGCCGAGTTGCCGAAAAATCACGAAACAGTTGTCCATGGTTGGCTGTCTTTGGTCGGACGGATGAAAGCAGCACGTTCAAGTTAGACCCTCGGATAAAAAAGTTACAATTGGTCCATAGATATTCTTTCCCTGATCAGCTCTTAGTACCGTCCACTTGGCACCCCAGCCTCTCCCCAACACCTGATCGCACGATGCGTCAGGCGTGGCAACGCGGCACAGCGCCAGTCATACGAGGACACTTATGTAGAGCAACACATCGGCCGGTGAAGCCAGAGAGCAAACCCAGGGATTCGCGCCGAAAACAGTTGTCTATTGTTCTAAGTTTCCGCCCTACCCCCTATAACCCCCACCCTCTAAATTGTTTTACCTTTAAAACAATTTTCAAAAATTTCTTAGAGTTCTAAGTTATAGCGTATATAGAGACATTTATATATTTGGGTGGTTATCTGAAATTTGGTTAACTTCTGATGTAATTTTGAAGGTGGTGTTTTTAGTTAAAAATCAGAACAGCTTATATTCTATGCTGTAGGTATAACATCTACTTTGCTGCATCTAAAAGGGCCAGTAACTTTACTTGATATTTTCAGAGAAATTTATGATTTTTTAAAATCAGTGTTCTAGGGACTGACGACAAGTGATAGGGACTGACACCAAACACGGTTATTCTGTCAAATCACATTTTTTATTGCAAAATCAACCGTAACAACAAAATAATCTCTTAAGTTCACAAATTCTATGATTTATAATCACAGTACAGGATTTATTTTTTTAATTACACACTTGAAAATAATCTATCAATATTTCTCAACAATCAAAATATACTTTGAGTTTAATACTTACAAACTAATAGTCCTTTAAAAATTAACAATTATTTTAAATAATCAGCTTTCTAAAGTTTTGAGTTAACAAATTATAATTTGAACACAACATTCAGACTTTCATTAATTATTATGAGATCACAAATATTTCGCACTTAAACTATCTAGTACCTCTTATTTATTTGTTTCACTATTTGTTTTACTTCTCGTAAACATTAATGGGTTTTTTAAATTTGTGAAGGACTGTATTTCTCTTGACGATTATATTAGCAACTGGCAGTTTTTCTATAACGTCTTCGTAAGGTACGTCGGCGATATCATTATCATTTATTTTAAATTCTGTGCTATCTTTATTGCAAACTTTAAGAAATGTAACTGTCAGTTCTCCATCTTCGTCATCATATTTTGAGCAAACTGCGGCATATCGGTATTCTTTTCCCCTCATTATTAACTTAACTAGAACATAATCGCCACCGCCGTAGCTCGTTTTTGACTTTTCTTGTGCAATGTGGCTCATACTTGCTAACGGCATATCATCAGAATCTGTGAAAATATCTGAAACTTGAAGCCGCTGTGTATTGGTTTGGTACGTAATAGTCCCCAACCTATAATGGTCACAACCGCCATTATCACAGAAGCAACTTAGTGACTTCAAGACAAGTTTATTAGGGTTATAAATATGACCCGAGACTTGATGCACCAAGAGAGTTCCTTTAAACGGTTTCTGCTCTTTCTCATGTTCCTTGATCATTTTGTTAACTTTTTCTATGTCGACATCTTCGATAACAGACATTTATATTTGGACACCTTTCTCGAAGCACAGCTACAAAGTCGTACAAGTTCGTAATGTCACCTCTCTGAGCTATGAGTTGGTCTGCAGAGCGTTTGCATGTAGCTCCAATTCCATCAGGTGCCCCTTTCCCATGTCCCGCCTCATGGAAATTCCACGTATATTTTATAGCCAGTGGATAGAAATCTTGGATTCTGCAACCCAAAATATAAAACATTGTTTTATTTCTATATTGGGTTACAGGACCGTCACTCAAAAAATGCAGGTTTTCTACAGAGGATGGCAATCCTAAGAGGATAGGCTGTAAATGTGCCCAAATGGCTCCAGCGTTGTGAGATAAATTTAAAGACTCAGTGCAATGGGATGTTACTTTAACCTTTGTGTAAACCACCACTGTATGCAAAGAAATTTGAGTCCTGGAGCCGCCAAAATGATACGACTGAATTTCTTGGTTGCATTTAGTTGTGTAGTTTTCTGAGAAGTCCATGTGAATTACTGCATCCTTTTCTGTAAATGACTCTTTCAAAGATTTATAGTTTTATATTGATGAACGACGTTCTGTTCATGTTGGAATAATTTTGGAAGATCACTCTCTTCTAATTGCATAACTAAATCACGAGGTTTTGAATTGCATATCTCTTTCTTATACTTTGTGACGTATCTATCCTGTTTAGTTTTAATGTCCTTAATCAATTCCTTGCTATGCTTCCATTGTTTGACTGCCATGTCCTTACTATTATCAAACTCCTTATATGGTAAAATCTTCAATGAGCAGTCCTGGCAAGTTCTCGCTAAGCATTTTTCCGAGTAACGATCACAGCAAATTGTTTCCAGTGCAGTTTGATATGTGGCAAAGTCAAGAACGTTTGCATTTTTTAAGGCACCTAACTTCAAATTGATGTTTTCATGAATAACACAAGCACAGGTATCACGGTCTGTAAGCTTTTTCCTGCCGCACAACGACTATTATTGTCATCTTCATAAAACTTGTGTATGATTTCTTCAACTCTCTTTTTTTTTCGCATAGCTTCATATTTTGTACGATTAAATCCCATCTTTTTATATGTAATGGCTGTGTTTCCAAGTCTCCATATTTTATATTTATGTGTCAGTGGACTTGCAAAAATCGTTTTTAAGCAGGTTTTTGTTTTGGGTGTCTGAATCTCTTTATCTAAAATTTGCCTTTGAATAATATCGCCAAATAACGCTTTTTTATCACTTCTGCTTTCTACAATTTTACTTTCTGGTGTCAGTGCTTGCTTCTTTTGTATCATTCTATGTTTCAGTCTTCTGTTTCTTTGTTGTTCGCTGGCAAGTTTCTTCTTTAAATTTTCAATGAGTAAGTCCTTCCTCTTCAACATACTATTTCTTTTTCTCCGTTGAACTATACTCCTCTTTCTAGCTTCAGCTTCTCTTTCATTATTTACTAAAGGAGCCTCAGGAATAATTTCATCTTCCGATGATGGCGGCGTATTTTGGTCCACGTATTTAACTGTATTGTCACGAATCTTTTGTTTTTTTCTATAATCAGATGAATGGGCTACCCAATTTTTTCTTGCCTTTCTGTGCTCACGCGGAGTCATGTCTTTTACACACTTCCGTTGTCCTTTTTCCTTTTTCTTTAGATATTTTAGTCGTTCCTTTTCTTTGTACTCCGCCAGCAAAACAGGAATGGAATGGAATTTTTTCCAATCGCCTCTTTGCCTGTTCAGACTTTTTTTTGCAATTTCCTCTTTAGACAATGTTTTTTCTTTAGAGGCGCCATATTCTACAACAAATACATTGGTATTATGATTAAAACTATGCATCACACAGTATGATCATCAGTCCCTAGATGTGGCATCAGGCCCTAGTCACTATTACGACTAGGGCCTGACGGTCTAGGGACTGACGAAACGAAGCAAAATCAAATGAAAGCTATTATTTTAAATCACTATAAAATCTAAAACTATGCATCACACAGTATGATCATCAGTCCCTAGATGTGGCATCAGGCCCTAGTCACTATTACGACTAGGGCCTGACGGTCTAGGGACTGACGAAACGAAGCAAAATCAAATGAAAGCTATTATTTTAAATCACTATAAAATCAATAGGCGGTCAAAATAACAAAGCAGACCTAGCTCATACATTCAATAAGTAATGAGATCAATGAGTAATTATATATGTTTAAAACGACTTACCTAGGGCCTGAGAGTTTGACTGGCACAGCACGTGTTTCCGCAGCAAAGTCGGTTACCACACTAATAGCAAAATTGCTGCCGCGGCTTGGCTCGTGTTTGCAACCAACTACACACCGATGCTACCGTATTGAGTGAGTTATGAATAAGTCATATGTTTGGATGCTGCGTATTTTTGAATTTCGTAAATGACTAGGGCCTGATATTTTTTATCGCTTACACTTTTTGACTTGAAATAATGTGATCAAACAAAATTATTTTATACATTAAATCGTAATGACAATGTAAGCAATGTAATAGTAAACAAATCTAAATAGAGTTTCATCAAATTATTATTTAATACAATAAGATTACAGTGACGTGAATACTAAATTTGGCAGATCTTACATGGCTAGGGCCTGATATTTGGAGTAAAATATGTCAATTTATTGAAATAAAGAATATTATGATATTTATCAAAATTGGTGGCCGAACTAAATAGACTATAAAATATCGCTTAGTAGTTTCAGATATAGGATATATATTTTTTAATACTGTGAAAATTCATGCTAACACCAAGTTAACCAAATTTGGGATAACCACCCATTTGTATATTGCCTGTTGCCGTGATACTTCAAGCCCGAAAGATCTACAAGCCCTTGGGCTTGAACCGCATGATTGCGGTTAGATGTCGCCTTGAAACCTCGAGGCCTTCTGGCCGTTATACTACAAAAGTATAGGTTGGATCTTGTTGGTGTGTCGTGTGTTATTTTGTTTCTTCTCTTTCTTCGTTTCTTCATGTTACACCAGTATCCGGATGT